GAGCGTCGATTACCCGTTTTGCATCGGGATGAGGTTCAAGATGCGGGTTGAGTCTGAAGATGCCACCGAGAGAAGGTTCGTTACGCTTTAAGCTCCGAGTCATTTCTCTCTTACATCTGAACTGTGAGCCTCAACTCCTTGTTGCTTTATGTCAGATGCACCGGGATTATAACTGGAATCGGTGATATGGATCCATTGAGATGGCCCGGTTCTAAATGGAGATGCCTCCAGGTATCGGGCGAATCAAGAAGCTCCTTTTTTTCTGTCGTTAATTCTTGCAAATTGTTGCAACAATCAGCATGATATCGTTATCGTGTTTCGTGTCGTTTTCAGGTCAGGTGGGATGATATCGAGGCTAACGGGCATCAACATGTCTCGCCATGGGAGATTGAGCCCTCGGGTTCTGTCTCTAATTCAGGCAGCTTCGTAACAACTGGTCCCAAGAGGAGTAGGATTGGTTTTCCTCCCGTCACTGGTACCTACTCATCCTCCCCCTCCATAGTTCATGCTTATGGAAACATCCTTTGTTTCTGTTAAGTTCTCGTCTATTCTGACAAGTTCTTGTCTCTTTCTGTTCAGACGGGATCCGTGCAGCGGACTTCGGGGAATCTATAAGATTCCAGAGGGTCTTGCAAGGTCAAGAAATGTTTCCGGGTTTTATTAATCCCTCATCGGATTGTATGGCTCTTAACGGTCAGACAAGAAGCGGGTTTCGTCCGCGTAAAGCCACGGGCTTTGGAGAATCCATTGGTTTCCATAAGGTCTTGCAAGGTCAAGAAACGATTCCAGACCCTCCATCTTACCCGAACGGAGGAGGCTCTGGAATCTATAATGGCGGTCAAGTTCTGAGCTTGAGAAATATCTGGTCGGGTCCATGTCAGAACTTCAGTACCCGCGTGCTCCCGCCCTCCATCCACGCTTCATCGTCGCCGTCGTCCATGGTGATGTTTCAGCTATCGAACCACGAAAACGCTGTCTCGGGCGTCGGCCCGACGCTCTCCACCAGCGACCAGAACAAGTGTTGGGACAGTGACGGTGGTTCAGGCAACTCCTCGAGAGTAGTGTCGGATTCATGTAAGAGCAGTTGCAGGCTGTTTGGTTTCTCACTGACAGACGAAACTCACGGTGAAATGGCGATATCCGAGAAGGGCGGCAACGTAGTTATGCCCTGCGTGGAAGGGCAGATCGGGATGGCCATGAAAGGTATTGTTCCGAGCAACCATTCGCAGGGACGAAGGGAGATCTACGCAGTGAGAGACATTCTGCTGGATATCGCTCTTTAGCGTTCCGCGTTCCGCGTTCTGAGCTTCTATATGAATTCACGACTCTGCCTTCAAAGGGGCCATTTGGTTCTAAGACAAGAATTTGACGTTTTGTTTGTTGCAGAATGCTTCTTTAGATTGAAACCGTACTCTTGTGTTGTTCCTAAAGCGTTTAAGCCCACCGAGCATGTAATACTGTCGGACACCCTTTTGAAGTTTTATGTTTCTTTTTTACGGATTATTGTATTTTATTTTCCGAAATATGTTAATGTCCACTAGAAATGAGACGGGGGATTAGAAAAAAGGTGTAATTTTTTATTAATATATTAATTATTTATTCTTTGTTAACATATTATTGAATTATATCTCACCTCGTTTGGTGGCTTGAGAATTAAACGAATCGATTCATGAAAGATAAATTTTTCCAAAGTCAAAATCAATAAAGTCAAAGTTAACCCATTTTATACATTCGTATAGATATAGAATATATGTTTTTCCGGTGAAGAAATGTCAATGTTTTCATGCATTTTTAAATACGTCTTTCCAAATGATTCACGCAATCAGATACATATTATTAATAATATTCGTAGCGTCGCTTTTGCATGGATTTTGTAATTTAGTGGTCAGACCAAATTGCTTACGAGTTATTTCATTTTAATGTATTTTAAAACGTGATTATTTGACATTTTATTGATTTTTTAATCAGAAAAAATATATTGCAGAAGGGTTTTTTATCACCGTCTATCTCATAGCATGTATAATAGTCGCCAGTCAAAATCTAATATTTGTGTAAAAGAAAATAATTACTAGTGTACTTGACTAATAGGCTAAATTGGTTTTTTCATTTCATTTTGTAATATTAATCATGTATACACAAATAATACCACATATTAATGTATAGGACTACGTGTAAATATGAATTTCGTAAAAGAATAGAGAACCGCAAATTCCACAGGGTGTCATAGAATAAATATTATTATATTTATAAAAAAAGAATAAATATTATTATGGAAATTACGTATGATGTACGCCACGGACCGTCTATAGATGCGAATTATGATGTAAATGATACTTTAAAATCAAACGGTGACGTCATCATCCTACTGCTCCGCCGTCATAATGTTGACTCGTGTCAACCCTCACCGTCCATCGACAATTTTTTTTATTATATATTTTTGTTAATTCGTAGGAAATTTCTCAGTGGATCATGGAATATGGCTATATATATATATATATATATGGGTGTGTGTATGCATGCGTGCGTGTGATTTTTATGTTTCTTGAAATTATAAGTGATATGAGGTTTAAGCGTCTCTTAGGATAAATTTAAGAAGGGATAGCCATGAAATGGACCAGCTTATATGATTATATATATATAACAGCATTTTCAATATTTAAGCGTCTCTTATTTTTTATCTTTATTTTAGTTTTTTATAATATGAATCGAAAATCTATTTATTATAACAACAAAATCATTTGCACACTATAATATTGTAACAAAAATTATTAATCGCGATGGTCGTTTTATATTTACTCAAAGGCGGAGTGTAAAAATCTTTTAAAATGCATACTCTATTATTTCATTAATACGTAAATACATAAATACGTATATATATATATATGTTATGAATAAGGAAAACGTGTTTATTTATGATTAGAGACAAAAAAAGTGGAAAAGTCGTGAAAGCTCTCGCGAATCACGCGCCACTAGATTCATAAGAACAAGTCCAACGTAGAAACACGTCACCCACAGTTCCCGTGACGCACAATCTTACGTCACCGTCGTTGTTTAAACCCCCCTTTCTTCTGTACATTTGCAGAGAGAGAGAGAGACTAAAACCAATGATTTCTGCAATGCAAGCAACGGTTTCTTGTGGAACGCAACTCTCTCTGAACGCCGGGAAACAGCCACAGCCACGGGCGTTTCCGAAACGCGAAACGCTGGAAGACGCCGACCGCGAAAACCAGGACGTGGGGAAACTGGTGGCGGAGAACGCGGTGATAGTGGTGGGACGGAGAGGGTGTTGCATGAGCCATGTAGTGAAGAGGCTGCTTCACGGGCTGGGCGTTAACCCGGCCGTGCACGAGGTGGATGAGGACAGTGCGTTTGACGTTAACGGCGTTAAGTTTGATGAGACGGCGGCGTTACCGGCGTTATATGTGGGGGGGAAGTTGTTCGGAGGGCTGGATAGGGTTATGTCCACTCATATCTCCGGTGAGTTAGTTCCCATTCTCAAGGAGGCTGGCGCTTTATGGCTGTGAATTTTATAATCACCACTTCAAATTTTATCTTTCCTTTGTCTTTGTTTTTAGTATATATATGTATACATATATATATATATATAATATCATTACGACATAATTTGCTTAATATTGTTTTCAATTCTTATGAACTTTCGACATCGAAAAAGAACGGGAAATAGAGGCCTAAACAAAAATTTTAACTCCTCTTCATGGGCCTCTACTTTTAGTATGGATCCACTAGGCCCATTACAAAGCATGATGGGCCCATTATTACTCGGTTCGTTAACCTTATTATTTCATCACGTCTATGGATCTTTGGTCCCCTACTAATGATTATTGTTTACTATTTATCCATTATATATACATATATATAATTTATATCTACATATACACGCGAAAAATACAGAGTGACATGATTGATCAAAGCAGTAAGAGGTTTTGGAATGGTAATATAGTTTTAATATATGGTGATTAAATTTTTTTTTGTTAAATAAAGTTTTAAACATGTGAACGATGCATGCGGTCCATATGGCAGGAGGAATATTATGCTCAAATGGGACCTCTTCTTTAATGCTTCAATTAGTTGTCTTGCAATTAATATGAGACATATTAATTACATATGTATTTACAGTTCTGTACTATTTAAAGGAATTCAATACCAACAACATTTAAGTGGATATAGTAAAATTTAGTTAAATGGGATCTAGCGGAATAATTATTCTTGTTAATTTTTTTTGCAGGGAGTTCATTTCATTCTTCTTTCTTTTAATATCCCACGGAAATTTTAATAAAAAAAGTTTTCCCACTGAATCCTATTCAATTCATTTTCAATATTCAATTAATATTACGGTTCAAAATTTGAGGTGATTAATACATTGTTTGATGCTTATTGTTTACGCAATCAAGGTTTATTTTGCACATGACAAGAGAAAATTGTTATATTGAATTTTTCAATGACATAATCAATAGCAGGCTTATTCAATTACTAAATTAAATGTTTCCGACAACAGCCGACAGAATTTAGATATATCATTATCAGCCTCCTAACTACCTCTCGTAATTTAGTTTAATCAAATGAAATAATACTAATAAACGTTGCGAAAAAAGACAAAATTATACTAAGTTGTTGCCTCTATAATTGGAATGCCACTGTCGCTTGATGTCAATCCCGACATGTCTTCTCCATTATCCGTAAGAGTAGACTTCAGTCTTTGCTTGTTTGGTTATTCAAATATTTTGTATTTTTTTTCTATGGAATGTTTTACTATTTATGTGACATATTTGGTTTTATCTTAATATCCTGCATTAATTTTTTACATAAATAAAACATCGTACTATTGTTACATAAATTTTTTTAAAAAAAGCATCTTACTTTAATTCTTTTGTTTATCCAAAAACCAATTGGAAATTGAAAAGTGTCAAACCCAACAACAAAAAAAGTACTCTTCCCTTTCCCTAGAAAGTTGGGATGAGTCTTTTTCTTTTGTAATCAAAATTATAACATTTAGACCTTTAATTAGAAAACTGAGTATTTCATAATCCGAATAATTCAAGACTCGAATAAAAATTCTATATTTCAAATGAATTCGAATACCCTATGATAGAACCAAATGGACATTGTTGGTATTATAAATAAAAAAAAGCATGCACATAAAGCATCTGTCTTTTATTTTATTTTATTTATTATTTTGCTGTCTATAATTGCATCAAAGCCATGTGAATATACAGTTTCAGTACATGAGCCTGAAACAGTAACAATGGCTTTTGAGTGCATTTTCAGACATTCTCTTCAAAGAACCAGAATCTGTTTGTAACCAAATATGGAAATAAACCCACAAATCTCTCTCTCTCTCTCTCTCTCTCTCTCTCTCTCTCTCATCACAACAAGAAAGGATCCTGTAATAAAAATTTTCAGAAATTGGGCATTAGGCATCGACGCTTTTGTAATAAATCTAAATTAACACACTGACGGGTTTGATAACTTTACAGTGAAAACGTTACTCTCCTTAAATTCAGAAAACTCCTAAAGCAAGAGAGCAAAAAACCCAAGTGGGTAGTCATCATAGTTTGCCCAAAAGTCACAAACTTTAAGAGCCAACGGATATTTGGAGAGCTGTGTTCCTTTTCTCTCCTAGAGAATTTCAATTTCTCCCATTCGAATTTCATATATGTATATGTAAGGATTTGAATGGGAGTTTGTTTTCAGACAACGCTTGCTTGATCCGAGGAGTCTTCGTAGTAGTACGGAGTCAGTTTGCCGTCCTTTTGGGAAGCCGTGTGATGATTTTCGCCGCTTATTTCTTGCAGCATCTTCACGACCCTTCTCATGGAGGGTCGGTTGATGGGTAGGGGGTTCGTGCAGAGGAGGCCGATGTTTAAGACTTTACTTATCTGTTCCTTGAAGCAAGATTCGAGTTTCGGGTCTATGACATGATCGATGCCCTTCTCCTTTAGTGTGGTGCAAACCCACTTGACCAGATCCTTCTCTCCCAGCTCGGGGTCCATGGGTCGTTTCCTGGTGACTATCTCGAGCATCACAACCCCGAAACTGTATATGTCGCTCTTCTCGTTTACCCGGAGTGTGTAGGCATATTCTGCAAAGAGAGTTTTTTTAAAACGATTCGAAGGAGGGAAATTCAAATCCCAAGTGGATGTATTAATGAAGAAAGGCAGACCAAACATGTGGAGCCATGTTCAAGTTACTCATGGAGTGAATGCCAATTTAAGTTCCTCAACTAAATTTGTAAAATTTTTGCAAAAAATTGAAGAAAAACAGAAATTTTATTGTCTAAAATTATAAATGTGGAGGATCATCTGCAACTATTGACAAAGATGTACTGCATTTTTTTTTACCAGCAATAAACCAGACACAGATGAACTATGGACTAGTTTTTACCTAAGAGATGAAAATGACTTAAGACATGTAACCACAGAGAGGGAAACATAACCCTACTAACCTGGTGCGATATAACCGCAAGAACCAGCGATAACCGACATGGACTTTGGTGCCTTGCAGGTCAAGTCAACTACTTTAGCGACCCCGAAATCAGCAATTCGTGCCCCGTAATCTCCATCGATCAAAATGTTGTTGGACTTGACATCTCTATGTACAATCGGAGGAACACAGTCATGGTGAAGATAGGACAGCCCTTCAGCTGCATCGAAGATAATCTTGTACCTTGTCAGCCAACCCAGCAATCCTCCTTTACTGCTATGCAGCAGATCACCCAAGCTACCGTTGGGCATGTACTCGTAAACCAAGAGCTTGCAATCTCTCGTGACACAGCAACACCAGAGCTTGACAATGTTCTTATGTCTGATCTTGCCTAATGTCTCAACCTCTGCCTCGAAGGCTTCGTCTTGAGGCTTAGGTAGTTGATCTTTCTCTGGATCATGGTTTCCTGTCTGTTTTATGGATCTCGTCCATAGTCTCTTGACCGCTACAACCTCGCCACTGGTAAGAACAACCTTGTACACTTTACCAGAAGCTCCAATTCCGATCACATTGTCTTCGTCTAAGCTTTCAAGAATCTCGTTTTCGCTGAAGCCCAGTTTGTGGAACGACATTAATGTCCACTTTGATCTCTCCACGGCTCTTGCTTTCTTGAAGTTTCGATATTTGAAGTAGAACCATACAGCACCGACGAGGAAGATAACTGCTGCAAGTATGAAAATTGACCGGAGAAGCCATAGATATCCTTTGTTCTTAGCTTCACTCAAGCGTCCACACATTCCCTCCAAGTCTCCGCACAAACCAGGATTTCCAAGGAAACTATTCTTATACATTTCTTTAGCCAGTAGGGGAGGAACCTCACCCGATAACCTGTTATTCGACAAGTTCAACTGGTTTAGCTTCAAATTCTGCAAAGAGAGTGGTATTTCACCAGAAAACCGGTTATCAGACAGATCGAGGTAGTTCAAGACAGACAGACTCCCGATCTCATTGGGGATTCTACCGGAAAATTGGTTATTGGCTAAATTCAATTCGTTCAGTTTCTTCCAGGACTCGATTCCACGCGGTAACTCCCCTGAAAACTGGTTTCCATGAAGATCAAGAATACTCAGTCCCCCAAGTTTCACCATGGAACCAGGGAATGAGCCACTGAACTTGTTGTCGCTCGCTGATAACTGATTAAGATTGTCCAAGAACCCAATTTCCTCCGGCAAAGAGCCACTGAACTCATTGTTCGATATTATCAACATAGAGAGATTAGATGCACCTGAGACAGTCTTCGCAATTTTGCCGGAGAAGGAGTTGTTGACAAGCTCAAGCAAGTAAACATGAGGCAATCCCCAGAATGCGACAGGGACCTGATCCGATAACCGGTTGTGTCCCAACCGGATACGGTACAAGCTCCGGCAATCGCTAAGACTCTGAGGAATTTGGCCGGAGAACGAGTTTTGTATTATCAGCAACTCCTCTAACTCACCATTCTCGCACAAAGTCGCCGGTAACTCGCCGGAAAATCCGTTTTCTGACACGTCAAGCCATTTCAACGGCGAGTTTTTTCCGAGGTCTCTAGGTAACTCGCCGGTGAGGCGGTTCCTAAAGATCCTGAGCTCGTACAAGTTCGGAGACAGTGCTATGGTCGATGGAAGCTCACCTTCGAGTTCGTTCTCGTAGAGATTCAAGCTCTCCAATGGAACCCGGCAAAGCTCGTCAGGTATTGAGCCACTCAACCTGTTCATAGACGCATCGAGGAGTCTCAGCGACTTCAGATTCCCGAGCTCCGGGGGGATCTTGCCGCTCAACGAGTTGTTGTAGAGCTCTATCTGGACGACACGAGCCAACCCGCCAAGCGAACTCGGGATAGGACCCTCCAGTTTGTTCAGCGCGAGGTCCAAATCGGTTAGACGACCGAGTCCACCCAGAGAGTCAGGGATCTTCCCGACCAGATTACACTCGGTGAGCCACATAACCTCGAGATTCGTCAGGTTCCCGAGCTCCGGTGGGATACGACCGGGACGAAAGGGGTTGTACGACAGGTTCAACATCCTGAGCGAGCTTATGTTCCCGAGGAACGGCGGAATCGTCCCATCCAAGAGATTGTACACGAGAGACAGAACCTCGAGCTTCTGAAACCCGCCGAAACTAGCCGGAATATCACCCGAGAAGTTGTTTCCGGTTAGATCGAGGTACTTCAAGTTAGGGAGATCGGCCAGAGTGTACGGAAGTTTGCCGGTGAAGAGATTCTGGGAGAGATCGAGATGCTCGAGGCTCTTACACGCCGCAACATCGATAGGAAGATTCGAGGCTATGGAGTTGTTGAAGAAGGAAAGGAACGAGAGGTTTGGGAGACGACATATGACGGAAGGGAAAGGTCCCGCGAGGTTAGCGTCGGAAAGGTCGACGGAGGTGACGGAGCCCACGCCGCAGGAGACACCATACCATCGGCAAGGAGAGACGTCGTTAGGGTTCCAGGAGGAGAGAGAAGAGTCGGGGTCGAGGAGAGAGAGCTTCACTTGCTGGAGAATGAGACCCTCATGGTTGAGAGAGAGGACTACAGGGAAAAGGAAGAAGAGAAGAAGAAAAGTCATCTTCATTCCACAACAATGGCCACTTTCCTACGGCAGAGACGGCGCTGCTGCGGCGGAGAGCGGTGGCGGAGTGGGAAGATAAGTGATGGTGAAACTATATATACACACACAGATTACAGACAGAGAGAGAGAGGCTGAGAGATATTGTAAAAAGGGTTGACCAAATTTTATTTTATTTTTGACCGACAAATTATTGAGACTGTAAAAAAGGCAAAATCGTGCCCTGTATTTTCATTTAATTTGTTCCTAGTTTTTTTTATTATTTTATTCGTTTGTAAATAATTCTTTTCTATTTTTCTAATCTATTATCAATATTTTTTTTTATAATCCACAAGTTAACTTAACTTTCGATTCAATTATATTTTTTTTATAAGATATATAAAAATATGTCTTTTTAATTAGAAATTCAAATTTAAATTGAGAAAAAATTTTATTTTATCCTTTATCATATCAGTCACCCAATTTTAATTTCTATTATTAATATCGAGTCATCCAATTTTGATGTCTATTATTAATGTTGAGAAGATGTAAATAGATAGTAAAATATACTAATTGAGATTTGTGAGGTGAATTATTGGAGATTTTTTATTTAAACAAAGGATTATAATATTTGGAGATAATAGAATATTTTTATTTAATTAATATAAAATTTAAAATATAAAAATAAAAATAAATACAAAAATTATAATAATATTTTAAAATATTTGTATACGTTTTATAAAAGAATTGAAAAATAAGTATTTGAGATTGAAATTTAAAGTATAGTTAGACTGAGTATTAAAATTTAGATATGGATCAATAAAATTTTGAAGATCGATATTGATGATTATATGTTGTATATATCGATTTTTGTTTTTTATATTATAATAAAATATCAATTTAGTTTGGCTCATATACAAAGACTACTACCGGACCGAAGGTTTATCTAACCAACGCATCTGAAAGATAATAGTTAGGGGTCCTCCATTATAAAAAAAAATATCAATTTAGTTTGAGTTTGACATAAATATACATATTAACGGCATGAAGATGTTAAATCAAATAGAAAGTAAAAGACGGGATTAACCATCATAATTTCATAAATAATATAATAGAAAAATGGTAAAAAAATATTGAAGTGTTAAAATAATTATAAATAGAAAATATAATAATATAAATTTTTATTTAAATAAAATGATAAATATAGAAATTAAATTAAATCTAAATATCCTGTGTACTATAATGTGAAATCAGACACAATTCTTGTTTTTTACAAATCTGAAATCAATATTTCATTTTTTATATAATGTATGGATTGTCACTCATTATGCATAATAACAGTTACAGTTATGTTTCTTAAGTCACAATTATGTCGTTAAGCCTTGAATAAGACAAAATTATAAGTCAAAATATTTTCGAATATATTAAATGAAGAGTATAGTGTTTTCTTGAGACACAATAAATGATACAATACTTTCGACGAATAATAAATGCACTTTTATGAGATTTGTATTAACGTTCATGAATGAAGAAATTTTATTCTAGAATTATTATTATGAATAACATAAATAAAATTATTTATTCGTAATTCCTCTTCCTCTGCAATAATTGTTAATAAAGTATTAAATATCCCTGGTGAATTATTTTTTCCTTTCTATTTTTGGGTCCTCTACCAAATGAGATTGTTCGGTTTTATTTAATATGTAATTTAATGTATGCATAACTATATAACATGTTTAATTAATTCCAATGATAATTACTTTAAAGAAAAATCCATAAAGCCTATATATATATATATATCTAAAAAAAATGTGTTGTCTTTGAATTAAATGATAAACTGAAATTCACTCAAAAATTTGTCATTAAAGTTCAACATCGAAACATCGCGTCGTCCGTCGCGTCATCATATTAGACAGGTTGGGTGTGGGTGGAGAAACGGCATGCAGTCACCGTGTGCTGTTAAAAAACAATAAAACAGCTGTTTCACATTTTCTGTTTAAAAATTAAAGAAAAATATTTATGTGAATTCTATTAATTTAATTTGTAATTGTTACAAAATGGAAATTTAAAATTATTTTAATAATATTCACAACTTTATAAATTTCTTTTGAATCTATCTGATTATCATTTAGGATCTTCAAAACAAACGGCATGCAATCTCCATGTTCATGTTAAAATATTTTTTTTTGTCCAAACGGTTGTCGTTACTAGTGGCAGTAGTAGTGGTTGGAAATTATTAATTTCGTGGGCCGACTTAATAATGTACCCTGCTGAAATTTGTCCGTACGGCGTTACAAAATAACAAATTTATGACAGTAGAGTAAATTGATGTTGTCGTCTTCGTTAAAAAAAACGAAATATGTATGGGATTTTATATATATATATATATAAGAGCAAACCTTATTTAAGTGTGTATAACGAATCTTTTATACTTGATGTATTAATATAGAAGCTAATATATTATACGTTTTTTATTGATAATTGAGCTAAACTAACTTTTCATGATACCCATAAATGGGGAGCCGAGTGGTGAAAGAGTATTGTTCTATGGGTTTCGGTCGCCGGTTCGAAATCAGCTGATGGGAAAGAAGGGGTAGGGTGTTGCTCTCTAGACTCTAAAGTTATTCCGGGTCTGAGGAGATGTAGTTTGGGCCGAAGATCCAGGTGAACCTAGGAGTGTCAAAATGACCGGGCCGGTCCGAGTCCGACAAAAACCCAAAAAAATACGGGCCGGGCCAGCCCGACCCGAAACACACGCAGGTTTAAAATCTTGGGCCCGAGGCCCGAACCAATGGGCTTTTTTCGAGTTCGGGCCGGGCGTCGGATTTTTTTTTAAAAAATAACAAAATAAAAATAAAAATTATTAATAAAAAATTATCAAAATAGAAAAAATTTAATATATACTAAAGATAATAAAAAATAAAGTTGTGATAAAAACATTTATTAATATATATGTGAATTAAAGAGAAATTAGAAGTCAGATTTTTTAATTTTTATATAATAATAAAATTTATTTAAATATTAGTGAATTAATATGTATATATTTATGCATGTATGTATAAATATTTATCTATATCTATATATATTTATATTATATAATATATAATATATTTATTTTTTCGGGCCAAGAGTTCGGGTCGGTCCGGCCCGATGGACGATCGGGCTTCAATTTCTTAGGCCCAAACCCGTAAATTTTACGGATAGATTCGGGGCGGGTAACGGACCTGAGGCTTTTTTGACACCCCTAGGTGAACCTCTCGATTAACAAAAAAAAAAAAACTTTTCATGAACCGTTTAAAAATCTAATAATATGAGTTAAAATGAAATCCCTATAGCTGTTTTGCTACTTAAGCTAAATAAAAAACATGTTTTAAGTAAACCGTAACAAAAAAAAAAAGCAAACAATGATGATTTTCTTAATCATATAGATTTTATAATTAAGTGGCAATTAATCCAAACAAGAACTTTGTCTAAAAAGGCTAATTCCTTTGGAAATCTACAAACATACCTTTATGTGGTTGTACCTATCCACATGCCCTGAGATTTGTGGGACCTCCTAAAGATAACCATGATTTTCTTTTAGGGAATTTAAAACATCCGAATTAATGTTCTAATCATTTCCTTGCTTTCTTCAAATTTACGTTGGAGATTTTACATAAGATCATGATTTCTTTTTGGAAAAAAAAATAACATTTTTTTGTACCATTTGGATTTTCATTATAAATTACAATCATGGGATATTATATTTTGTCACCAAGGATCCGAAAATTGAGCCCCTTTTCTTTATAGTAACAAATACAACCTCTAGAAACACAATTTTTTTTTTTATAATATGTAATTTGTCAAGGGTGGGGTTTGAACTTGGATGGAGCACTCTTTGCGCATATCCACTTACCAGTTGAGCCAACCACTTTTAGCGAGGAAACACAAATTATTACCAAAATAGTTAAATTTTGTCGCTATTTTATTACATAGTTTAATTTTTTATACATAGTTGATTGGGTATCAGATCCTTTAACCTCAAGATTAGAGATTCAAATTCTTTTAGTCTCGTAATCCGTGAGTTGGTCGGTTATGAACAATATATATTGATCTTTTTTTGGTAAAATATGAGAATATACTATTATAGGGATGGCTTTTGGGGCAAAAGAGCATATAGAAGAAAGTGGTCGGTCCAACCCCTAAGGGCCAGTTTCCTAACCTTGCAATCATAATTATTCCCTTAAGCCTAACTCAATTAGTTGATTCTTTGTGTTAATTTATTTCATATCCCCCCCCCCCCTTTTTGTTGGTATAACAAATATGACTCTTATTTTAATATTCTATTTGATTTTTTTTACTTTTTTTTTTATTCTATTTTAATATTCTAGTTGATTTTTTTTACTTTTATTTCCAATCTTGCAGTTCGACTTTCTCGTCTTTTGATACATCTCCATTGTGTATACACACACACACATATATATACACACTAATACACATACATGTACACATAGCCAATATGTCAATGCGTATGTATGTTGATGAATGGTTGATGTGTGGTCAACCTAAAACAATGTTACGGGGTCTCATATATGATAATTTTCTTAATAGTTTATGCTAATTTTATTGTACATTTGATTATCACCATAACTAGGTGTATACCAATTCGCCAATATTCTACATTTTTTTCTTGATATTTTATATTCAAAATTCCTAGTTTATGTTAATTTTCTTATCACCATAATTAACTGAAGCAGTTTATGTAATTGGACCCATAGTATTCAAAATTACCTTTTTGCCCAATATTATACCATTTTCTATATAATGATACTTCACAAATCTAGTTGACATCTAAAGGAAAATTCTATTTTTCACGTTAAATTGGAATAGCCTTTATAAAAATGTTGTTTTATTTGTTTTAACAGCTTAATGTTAATTAATCATGTTTACCAAATTATGGATTATATCCACTATATTTTATTTAGCAATCGTTAGAACATTAGTGTAGTATCTAATTAAATAGTTTTAATAAATAAAATTATATCAGAATATTTTGTTGTAGTCGAATATTATTTCTTTCAGAATTTCTCTAATACCCTCAATAGATACGTTAAGATTACATTCATTCTTTACGATCATATTTTATAAAATTTTACGTATATATACACCTTAAATCTTAATAATTTTTCTAAATATTGAATAAATAAATCTAAAATTTGTAGAACAATTTTGAAAATAAAATTATTACTCTATGTTAGTCTTGTCGGTGTTAATACAAAAAGTTTGAAATACCATTTTTTTTATAATTATAAAATAAATAAATAAATAGAGTTTCGTTTGGAAAAAATTTTACTCCACCACAGAAACTGGAAACAAGAGATTTTAAAATTGAAAATATTATGTTAGTATCATTTTTTAAATTATATTTTGATGGAGGACTAAGCCTACATATATCTGATGTTATATTCAAGTGTAATAAGAATAGAGATTTAAAGAATGATTTAAATTCGCATTTTATGCTAAAAATGTTACAAATGAATATATAAATTGAGAGAGAGAAAAAAGGCATTTTCTAATTAAGCCCCCTCTCTAAGCACTTAAAAAAGAGTTCAGTTCACGTATCGCTGCTGTAATCTTCTGATTCTACGCCGTAATCATTACCTGTATAGTTTGGTACACCACCACCATCACCATCACCATCACCATCACCACCGCCATCATCTTCATCTTCATCATCATCATCACCATCATCTAAACCCCAGTTTCTCTGACTGTACTCAACGGGTTCAACGGCATCCATACTCATGTCACTTTCATCATCTCCATTATCACCTTCCTCAACACCTTCCATCATCATTCTGCTTGGTGTTTCAACTTTCCACTCCTCCACTTCTTCTTCTTCTTCTTCTTCTTCTTCTTCATCATCATCATCATCTTCTTCTTCTTCCTCGTTTCGTGGCCTGAGAATGTCGGCAGCTCTCCTTCCCAGACAGTTGTTATCGTCGAAGCTTCTCCTCTCGGGTCGTCTTCTAACTGTTCTTCTCCCTCTTCCAGTCCCCTCATGGCTCAACTGAAGGGAAATCGATTGCGCTTTTCTCCCGCTACCGATGGCTCGCATTTTCTTGCTCTTCGTTTTTCTGATGGATCCATGGCCAAAGCTCCCTCTTCCACGTTTGTTACGACCATTACTCGAGCCCATGAAAACCTCTGTCTCTTCATCTCGTTCTTCTCCCAATTCGATTGTTTTGCTTTTAAACGGAGAGTTTCCGGAATGTAGCATCTGCATAAAGCGAGTAAACTGTTAGCTTCAACGCAAGAGTTAAAGGAACCGACTTTCTACCCGCAACCGAAAACAGAAAGAGCTTATAAAGAAAAACTTACTATCCGCTCGTCTTCATCCTCGGGGGTTAGGTCGGGTTTCTCCTGCTTTACATCATACTTAATGGATGCATCAAGTTCTGAAAGTCTCAAAGCAACAGCTGATATTGTCCGTGGAATCCATGGAAGAACAGGGGCAAGTCCTGAACCACCACCAGCAGCAGAAGCTTCCGAGAGCTCTTTCACCGTCACGAAATCAGACGACAAGTATTCTTTCTCGATGGCGTTCTCAAAGAGTGTCAATACCTGTAAACACAGCGGGAACCGGGTTTAAAAAGAGATTATCTTTCGAGCAGAACAATGACGGTACATGCTGAAACAGACGTCAAAGGGCCAAAATGGTGATTCAGATCTAACAAGTGTTTGACATCGTTAACATATGCGATCATCAAGTTTCTTTTACAGTTGTTTTGAAGCTATGTTAATGGAGGAAGGAACCGAAGTCTGATAATTGCAGAAATACCAAATGGGAAGGTAAAGAAATATAGTACAGGAGAACCTGGATGAGATCCTCAGGTGATGATGAAGCATTTAGCTCAACTCCCCAGTTCTCCCTTTGTTCTTCTGTCCAAAATGATTCAAGAGCCTCATCTGGAACAGATGCCTGCGAATAGATGAAACCGAAAAAGTTGGCAAAAGCTGGTACGGAAGAAATCGACTGTCAAACTTTGTGTCGGGATTTCGACTTGGGCCGAGTTTGTTGATGCTTTACCTCGAGAAAAACGAGCAGTGACTTGAGCAATCTAACCCCGAGAGGAAGATGAGAAGCCACCAAATCTTGTAAGATTAGATGGCATCTCTTCTTTCCATATTTCCTAGCGTAGAAAGGTAATGAATTGCAAGATTCTGACCACATCCATCTCTGAAAATCTTGGTACCGTTCCAATGAATTCTTCTTTTCAGTCTCATTTCTCCCGAGCTCAACTCCGAAAGAATATGAAGTTTCCACTGAATCGGTATTTGACCCATCAAATTCAGCCGAAGAATCAGGAGTGGAATTCACACCAGCAACTTCATTCTCGGCACAGGTTTCCTTCAAGCAATGTTTTCTAGAAAGCTGAAACTTGTGACAAACATTCTCTTTGAACGATCCCTCTATCTTCCGCAACATTATTCGTAAATGGGATTCTCTAATCCCATGCATATTCAGCGATGTAACGAGAGCTTCAAATGCCTATGCAAAACAAAAACCATACAATATAAGACACAGTCCCTGTAGAAGAAGCTAATATATTAGAAAACTAAACAGCCCTTAGTAACTTTCGTTAGTGGCAACTTTCTACAAAGTTCAAAATCTTAGAATGGAACTCTTCGGTTTCAAGAAGGAACAAAAAAAGAAATTTTGATATGACCCATTAAGTCTTTTAAAGATATCTAACCGTAGAGTTACTAAAAGTGTTACCTCTTCCGTGTCAATGACCCGCCACTTTCCATCATGTAGCTCAACAAATATAAGCCCAGAACAAGGATCATTTCTAGATGATGATGTCACAAACTGCCAGTAACGATTACGGCGTCTATCCTGTCCAAGTGGTAAAGATCGATATACATACATCTCTTCTGCTCTCTGGCCAATGTATGATTTCAATTGTGAACGTGATCTCTTCGAAGCATACCCGTATTGAGAAGAACAATTTTCTTGACTCATATTGGTATCCCTTGTAACCAAGGTTCTTTCAGAAGGGACTTTGTGAAGATCAGAATGATCATTTGAGACAACTTCCAGAGACTTCTGCTCATATGTAGTTTCAGTTATGTCTCTCATGCAGTTCTTATCTAACTGTGCTTCTGCCCACATTTGCTTTTTAAGAGCATTTGCTGCTTCCATGCGATGCTGACAACATTTTCCAATAAAATTCAGATTACAGATATGACAAGTTGAGAACATCTCAGCCCAAAGGGGGAAAACTGATAAAAATATAAAGCACAAAACTTTACCTCAAGAACAGCTCGGATTGAATTCCCTTCATTGGCAATACCAATTAAAGCAACAAGGGCATTAAGGCGCTCCTCAACACTCAGATGACAGTAATCTCCTTCTGTAAGACCTTGAATCCATGACTGGTCATCGTTACTTTCATCAACCTCAACATTCTTGTTATCCACGCAGCTAACCCCATTGTCTTTGCCAGCAGTACAGAGCTCGTTAGGGGTTTGTGCTACATTATTGTTGTTCAAGATGCTTGACGGAAGAGCAGACAAATCCTTCTCAATCCCGTTCTTAAGATCTGCTTTAACATTGCAAATCATATCGTCTTTCCCATTTCCAGATAAAAAAATTTCTTCGCCCAGATCATCTGCACTTTTTGATGCATTTGCAGGAGTGGTTATTTCATCAATGTCGGGATCCTCATCGGCATCGCCTTCAGAGTCTTCATCCCTTACAACATTTTCTGCATCTTCTACACCTGTAAATCCATTTTCGAAAGCCCGTATCCTCTTCCTAGCTTCAGCGAGTATTGCCTCTGCATCCGCAGGGTCCTTCCTATAAGGAGCTCGGACACAATAGGTTGAAGGAGCTATCCTTTCAAAAAGTTTGACATCTCTTGTCAAAGCAACAGATATAGAAGCCTCTGGTGTCTTGCTTGTAGTCAGGTCTCGGAGTCCAGATTTCTTCCAGAGGAAAATCATAATAACTATGTAAATTATACGAACTGCATATATGAAATATAGGGTCAAATTGAAACTCTAGAACCAATGTGGAATATACCTGAATTTTTTCGGCAAGTTCTAATACAGTTAGTCCCTTGCTTCCCTCAAGGGAGAGAACATGAAAGGCTGCAAATTTGACAGTCCCAGGAGTCAACCGATGTCTTGACTTCCGTGAAAGCAGCAAACCTTTCTCTCGCATTAATGCAAAAGCACTTTCAGCTGCTGA